TCCTGCTGGACAAAAGGGTTTGAATCCCCCAAAATAATTTTTAGAAGGCTCCAGACACTGTTTAGAATGTGTTGTTATGTTGAGCTGTGTTTCTGTTATATTTTGGAGCTTGAAATGTATCATATGACATGATTTTGGCTGCACTCAGCTAGTAAATGCAGATTAATTGTTTTGGTGTTGAGAATAAAACACATCTTTTCATATTCTGGATCCCTGACAGCATTAATAAATCATTAGAGCCTGCATGCTTTTCTGCAAAGCTACAGTCATTTCCTGCATGGAGCATTTTTCTTAGTGATTTGTTTCCTACAGCTGTGAATGAATGGAAAGTGCTCTGTGAAAATGCTTTAGTAATATAGTATGGTAATATGCATCCAGTCTGAATTTCTACCTGTGGATTTTATGCTGTGCGGTGAAACATCTCTGTTCACCTGTCTTTTTCTTTCCCACATAGTGTTTTGTTACCCACTTTTTTTTAAATTGCTTCTCCATTCTGAGGAGATCTGTAACTGCAGAAGAGAGAGCTACAGAAAGGTAGCTGTCTCTCTGCATCTCTGCAGACTTTTGTTTCTGTTCTTCTAGAACATTTTCATCCCTGCAGATGAATTTTTCTGGTATGTCAGCCTGGTGAAAAAATGTTACAGATGTTTACAGCCAGGAAGCAGTGTTATTGCTGCAACTGCTCAGGCTTTGCAAAGAAGACTTTGTTGTATGTGTTTTTATCCCTTCCCTTAGCACTCACGGTCTGCATTCCTGGAGATCAAGTCTGACACATGTTGATGAATGCAAGTTTTATTTAGAAACATGACCACTTGTCACCGTTCAGTCTCATGTTATCAAGCAACGGCTGCTAACATTTGTTTGGCGCACAACATTTTCTGTACAGTGCTCACCAGCAAAGAGAAGCGTGTCCTCTTTCTTCCCCCCACCCAAAGCACAGTGTTTGCAGGCTTTTGGAGTGGAAGTTCTTCTTTTTAATGCTGGAAAAATTCATGGTGGTGGCAGAGGACTTGCACGCTGTGAGGATGGCAGAGGACGGCAGTGTGGATTCAGATCTCCCAGACTGTAATTGTGATATCACAAGGCAGGCAGTTATTTTGTTTGCTTTTGATTGATATGGTTCTTTCTGAAGTCTTGGCTTGCTAGGAAACTTATTGAAATATTGATATGTAGAAATCACTACCTTAGCTAGAAATTACTGTTTTCTGCTCAGTTCAAAAATAGTTGACAGTGATAACAGCATACTTTGTTTTATAGCTAGTACTTTTGGATCCCAGAATAATTTTTTGTTATTGACGCAGGCTTAAGACTAGCAAAATCTCTTAGCTATCTGAAGGAAACTGTAGACTGGTTTTATCACTGTTTTAAATTCATGTACACACATGAGAGAAAGCAGACTTTGTATTTGTCTGCTTGGTGTTTATGTCATCAAAGGGGCATGGCTACAAGCGAAAGGCAGAGAAGGAGAGAGGCTGTAAAGTATTTCGGATTTAACTTACCAAAGCTGGTCTGTCCTGTTCATATTGACTGTTTTGTAACTGCGTGCAATACATGAACTCAGCCTACATAGTCTTGAATTTTTGATTCAGCTTCTCTTTTTCCCTCTTCATATTATCTTTTCCAAAAGTTTTGTGGCTGTTGTTCAGAGTTCTAGAAATTTACACTTTGAAAGGGGAAACTGAGATCTGAAGAACAAATATAACTGGCAGTACTAGTATCCTGGTATGCAGTAGTACTGTACTTCAGACAATAAACTTTTTTAATCATAAAAAGATTATTTTAAACCTGATTTTTTAAAACCTGGTTTTAATCATGTAATATTTTTTACTATTTCATAGATTAAGTGTTTTTTTGAAACTTTGTCTCCACTTCCAAGTATATTTTAAAAAAAAAAGACAACTTTTCTGCCTTCTACTGGCTTTGTACTTAGCTAACATACTTTTACTGACTTTTTTCATGCTGCTTTTAAATTTTATTATTAGTAACCAGCTGTCTAAATGACTAACACAGTAGCTGTGAGTTCTATATGATGCATTGTTATACATTTACAGGGTTGTTCCTGTTTAGGTTTAAATGGAATCTAAGGCTGTCTAATTTAGGACTAGGTGAATTGAAAGCATTTGTGCTTAATTTTGGCTCCAAGTTATTCTCTCACTGCCTTTTCTTCGTGTAAAATAGACATTTGAAAGTTAATACTTTCTTGGGGAAACCAAGTAATTGGAACACAGAAATTTAAGCATCATAAGCCCATTCAAATTTTAAGATTAATTTTTATCAGTAAACCATAAAAACAAGCAGTTGAATTCTGCAATATTTTCCTTTCTGAGTGTCTTAAGTATTTGTAAAATGTAGCAAGGCTGGTGGGTGGGTGGATGTGGGTGGGTGGGTGGATGTGTGTGTGTGTTATATAAAAAGCAACCTTTAAAACAACCATGTCATGGGTCCAACCCTTTGATTTCAATGTGAAATCTTCATTATCAAGGACAAGAGTTATATCAAGTCTCTTGCAGTAACATGCATAGTGCTGCAACAAAAGCATGAGATGATTATTGTAATAATTACATGTTTAAACATAATATTGTAAATGAATTCTCAAAAGGTCGAAATTACAGTTGGCTAAAAATCTTACATACTGAAATGGTTTCTAATTTGACCTTTGTCTCTAAGCAGAGCTTTTAGCTTCATTAGCTTTCAGACCCTGCCATTAGCATGGAAAGGTAGGATTTTGAGCTGTTACATTTTTGAGACAAACATATTTTTGTTGTACAAGCATTATGTAATTATTTGTACATAGGCACAGTATTCAGTGACATCAAGAGCATAAGCATCTTACCTGCTAAAATTCAGGAGGAAAACTCCTAGACATGATGGATTACATCTATTATTTTTTCACAGATATGTTTTCAGAGTATCTAGAGGCATAACAGCATCTTGCAATTCAGTCAAAAAAAGTAAGCCCAACATATGCCAAGGAGCATTTGTTTATTTGCTTCTGTTTGCACCATAGGCAAGGAACTTGTCGCGTTAGACTCAGTACAAAAAAAGAACAGCATTAACAGTAAATGTAGCAGGAGGCAGGGAGCAAGTTGTCTTTTTTATCTTTTTTTTTTTGTCTTTTTTTTTTTAACTTTTGGAATTTAGGTGCAGGGCATTGCAACAGTTTGGTGGGAAGGCAGGTTTAGCAGTAGGTTTTGGTTGGAGCGTTCTTTTAATATGTTGCACTTCTTTTTCTCCCTTAAGTAACATAGGTCCTGTGACTAAAAATAGCTCTATTTGGGCTGGAGTTGTTTTTCACTTTGGCAGGGATGTATTCCCATACAGTCTGCCTGAAGCAAAGAGGGCACTTTCTAAATTACCTTTATCACGTGTTGCAGCACAGAGGTTGGGGTACTATACAATTGCAAATAAGAAAAGCCTAGTCCACAGCTTGGGCTTGCAAATGATAGAGTGACATTGGTTTTACACAGGGCTGACATGACTCACTGTTCCCTTTCCCACTCCAGCATGCCTGCAAAGGATCAGCAGCATCCAGCCTTGAAAATCTAAGCAGAAAATGGTCAGGATTTCACTCCTCTTAATTAATGTCAGAGACTGAAAAGCCATATGTGAGTTCCAGGACAGTGATAACCAACTTTCTTGCTTACCCTGTCAGCAAGTTTCAGTTGATCCAAACCCACAAAGCACTGTATGTACAACCATAGGTGACGAGGAGATGGGGCCTCCAGACATTGTTCTTCTAGCATCTCTCCAAGGCTAAATACATAGCCTTGTTTCAGGATAAGATGATGAGGAGGACTGGGGCAGTCTTTTAGCACAATTCTGTTGACTGCAGTCCCTTCATAGTCAGGATTCTCCGATCACTCAGGTTTTTTGCAATTACCAAGATATATTTTTTTTAGATCACAACCCTGCAGCTGTTGGTCATAAGACTCTGGCAAGAAAGATGCATTTGAACTGTTCTTAAGCATGTTTAGTGCTAAAGAGCCATGGTTTGACTATCTGTGATCTAAAGAGAGGGCTATAAAGAGACAAAAATTTGAAATATTTAACTTTTAAGTTTCTTGAGTAGACATTAAGATCTCTGCATTTCTTTTTAGTAAGAAAAGGACACTGATATTAGACTCTTAATGGTCAGCTGCAGGTAGTCCTTTAAATATGGAAACACTTCATAAATTTGCTGTTTAGTATTATGGAAAAAATGTGAATTGCTCTGTTTGAGTGATAGGATAGTCAGCTGGCATTTTGTTTGTTTGACGAATCTGACAGTCTTGTATTCTTCAACAGGATTTAGTCAATCTGTTCCGAGATGCACTCATCTCTTAAAGCTTTCTGATACTGAAACACTTAAGTGGAAGAGCAGTAGAAGCATAAAAAGGAATGTTACTCAAAATTGTTTGTGGCACTACATAAACGGGGAAAAGAAAAAAGAAAGCTTAGAAACTATTTCAGAATCCACTAATGTATGTTATGTAACATAAGGATAGGAAAGAGAGAATTACTGACAGATATTTTTCCAGTTGAAACAGACTGAAGGAAAAAAATATTGAGATAGGGTGGAGGTTTAGTCAAATTTTTCTCACTTTCTAAGCTTAATATTCACTTGAATAATAAAAAAAACACCCCACTATTTAATTTTTCCTGGACATTCCTGTCAGGGTCTCAAGAAAAAACATTACTTAGAAATCACCATGCGGTTACATTCCAGTTTCATCTGTTTAAATCTGAAGTAGTTCATTAAGACCAAAAACAACTTGAAGCAGCCCTTGGGATTCAGTTCTCAGCTGGATTTCTCTTTCTCAAACTTATTTGAGTCAAGGACAAGTCTTCACACTGGAACAAGTTGGGCAGAGAGGTGGTAGGTGCCCCATCACTGGAAACATTAAGGTCAGGTTGGATGGGGCTCTGAGCAACTTGATCTAGCTGAAGATGTCCCTGCTCATTGCAGAGGGATTCCACTAGATGATCTTTAAAGGTCCCTTCAACCCAAACCGTTCTATGATGTGTAGTTCAATGCTTAGAAATCAGTGAAGTGAAAAAGTCCTGTTCATTCAGTGCACTTCACCGCCAGTACTGGTATAAGGTATTTGTAGTCTAAGAAAAATATCGTCATCTGTTCGTCAAATACAAAACTGAATTACTTAGATTGTTTTGGGGCTTTGGAGTGTGTGTGTTCATTTTTAAAAAAAGTTTTCCTTTCTTAACAAACATTTAACTCAAATGAGAAAGGTACAGGAGCTTTGAAAATATCTGGCAATAGTAAGCTCATAATTTTTCTTAACTGAAACCTACATATATAAGACTATTTGCACATGTAATGTACTTCTGTTACATAATAAAGGAAGACTTCAGAACAGAACTTGCCACCTATGTTAAGTTTCTCTGGAAACTTCCTGAAACACATGCTGTGGAAATTCTCCTTCAGACTGTACTTATGCTGCTGTTTCTTTTTCTTTACAGGATAAAGAAGTTGAAGGAGACCCTTGTTGCAGTGCAGCAGCTGGATAAAAACATGAGTAGCCTGAGGTCTTGGCTTGCTCACATTGAGTCAGAGCTGTCCAAACCTATTGTCTATGAAACCTGTGACTCTGAGGAGATACAAAGGAAGCTAAATGAACAGCAGGTAAAATACTACACACTTATCAGCTGCACAATGACATGGGGAGAACCAAAGTAGAGTGTCCTTGGGCTGCCAGTACCTGTCTCAATGCTGAGAGAGCATAAGGCAAAGTGTTTCAATATCAAGGCAGGTGGTACTTACTGTATTGCTTATAGAGCCTTCTGCTGGCTTTGACATCGAATCCACCAGGAGCTGATTGACCTTTCCAAGAAAGGTAAGGCACCAAGAGATGTTACCTGTATGAGTTACTGCAATTGTTTTTCCTTTGGGGCTTGTGGTTTTTGTTTGTCTGAATTGTCTGTTCCCAGAGGCAAAACTGACACCTATTAGTCCTTGCAAATTCTGCACATGCTTGAAAATGATTATTTTTTAGCAACCTTTCTAACTCGGTTTTCTTTTGCAGCTTGTTTGAGAATCATTTTGCACGTAAAGATGCACGAGCTATACATGTGCAGTTGAAATTGGTTGGTTTATAGCACAGAAAGCCTTTATGCAGTGCTAGAACAGAATAGTCACTGGAACAGGCAGAAAAATGTTAAGTCAAACAGTTTTTGGCATTAAAACTAATGTTGCTCCTAAGATTTACTATATTTTCTCTTTCCTGTTCCACTTCATTGCCCAATGCAGTTTTATCTAGAAGCACATTGCTAGGGAGGACTGTTCGCTTGTGTTCCCATTGGTTATTTATTGGCAAAAATACCTTTCTGATGCCCCACTGGAGATGAGTTAGGTGCTATTCTGAGTTCTTTCTCCAGAGGAGAAAGAAATGTGTGGGAAGAGGAGTGCCAGCTTGTTTTGGGAATAATTAATTTATGAGAATACAAACTGGCTTTTTCATCTTTGAGTGTGAGATTAAAACCCAAGAACCCCCATCAGAGTTTTTGCCAGCTCCCCAACTGATTTTCTATGTGGCTGTGCAGAATTGCTTATTAATATTCTATATGTAATTTACATAGGGATAATAATTCATAACACACAAGCGTCACTAATGAAACAATAAAATGTTGGGAAGGGCTAAACATTGCTATCAACAAAGTAGATACTTTGAAGTGTGAGTGGTTTAATTTGAATTCCAGAGGGGAGAAATAGAGGTGAATGTGGTCCTGGGAGGATGTCCTGTTTGGAAACTTGATGATGATTTGATTTCATAACACTGCAAGTCATGGTTATAGCAATAGTTGAAAAAACCCACCCATATTCAGCCTGTGTCAACCAGTGTTTTTCTTAGTCGGGGGCTATGTCACTATCCGCCACATCTCTGACAGCCAGTACGTTGGCCATCTTCTCAAATATTTCATCATTCTTTCTTCTTCCTCTGTTAGTGATCTTACCTTCTTTTCCATGTGTGATCTTTCACTCAGGTCATGTTATCTTCCCTGCTCATACTGCTACCAGTTGTTCATATACAAAATTATACTGAAAGTATTATGCTGTGAAAAAGGAGGGCCAAATTCCACCTCTCTAACTCCATTATCTACTTCTTGGCATCTACTTTAGCCAAGAATCAGCTTTGCAGGTTGCTGGTCTCTGTAGTTAAATTAAAGATACATTTGAAGGTGGGGTAACTTCACTGCAGTATTTTCCTAGAGTTGCAAAACACATTTCACACATTTCAAGATTGCTTGTTTGTTTACTTTCTCAATCTACTACCACTTGAAATGTGGGAAAAAAGGTGTTTGCTTTTGAGTTGATGAAGTAAAAGATAGCTGTATGTGGGTGAAAGCAGTGCATAAAAGTGATGCTCCTTTGTGAACTCACCCAAAGGCTAACTGTTCTCTAATAATCACAGAAAATTTTAAAATCTGGGAAAGAAATATAAGACTATGGGAAAAAAAAAGTGTAGACATTGGTTGTAGAAAGGTTCATAGGTGAATAAAAAAGTTTAATCCCTAGGAATCCTCAAGACCACCAACCACCTCCAGTTGTCACTACTGCTCTACTCCAAAACAGCAGAGAGGAAATTGTGTTACCTGAACTGGCTTAACCTTGAGTCTCAGAGCTGTCTGGAGTATGTGTTTCATAGGGTATTGCATCTGTTTATAGTATCCACCCTTATATAACATTTCAGGTTGAGCAGAAAGAGGAATTAAGCACTTGGAGATCAGGATGGAAGAGTATTTTGCAGGCGAGTGAAAGTAAAAGAGCCAGCACTGAGGAAGAAAACATTGTGGTTTTCCACTTGATGGTCTCATGTAGATGTTCACAAAATAACCTTCTGTTTCGTAGATGAAAGAGAAAATAAATTACTTCATTGAGTGCAATGCCAGTTATGACAAACAATGGAATCAGATGATTGATAGAAGTTGACCTTGTTCTACTTCAACTTTGCTGAGGTTTTTAGATTTTACATTTAGATTTCATTTCCTGCTGGAATGCATTTTTGGGACATCATATTGCCAGTTGTAAGAAAAATTGCTCTAGTTAGACCCTACATGTATATAGACACAGTATGTTGACACTGTATTTCCCTTTGCATGTTGCAGTTTACTTCACTAGCAAAATTATGAAGAGCAGTTTATGTTGTCTACTTATCCTAAAGCTGCCAAGTTCTTGTTCTGCTAAATAAGCTTCCACATCTCTAATTGTCCTGATAGTTATGTTCTTCATCTGAATAAGAAGTGAACATAGTATTCCAGATGCAATGTATCACTTTTTGGTTTATTTATATTAGTACTTCTTTGTCACTATTGGAATTATGTTGGTCTTGGCTTTGTTTTTATCCATCCTGATTTTTCCATCTAATATTCTGATGATTCATTGCAAATGTTGGCAGAAGTCAAGCAAAGTTTCTTTTTCTTGCATTGATCCAACACCAGTAGCCAATTACCTTTGTGGCTTGTCTTAACTTGAACCTGTAGTTCAAAACTGAAGCTGAAACCCTGCTTCAAGATGAAACATTGTCACCAGAGTAGGACAAGCCATTGCAACTAAGAAACCAATGAGAGAAATAGTACTGATCACATATAATAAGTGCTAAGACAGTGTAAGTGCATTTTCTTTAGCTGTACTGAATTTTCCTTTGCCATTTCTAATGAAAATCTCTAGAATTGGAAAGCTGAAGAAAGAAAATCTATTACTACGGATGCACTTTTCAACATGGGCTGCTGTGAATTTTCACGTCAAACATGCCACTTTGTGGCTAGCTCACCTGGGGAAAATTGCTCACCTGGGGAAGACTAGGTTTACAAGGAGTACCTCCACCAAACCCTCACAGTAGATAACATATTTTCTTGTCACACTTCTCTTACTAACTTCTGCTTTACATTCTCTGTGATAGTGGGAAAGGGCTGGGAATAATTCCACCATTTATTGGTGATGTTGATGAAATGTCTGTAAAAGTTGCTCAGCTGAGCATGCATAGCTCTGGCAGTTTATCGCAGGAGATGGTTTGGTGTTTGTAGTCCCTGTGAGAGCTGTGCATGCTGCCAGATTCTCCTGGCCTCATTGATAACATTGCAACACCACTTGCGCAGATGCAGTCTGTTAATGGGTATTCATTGGATGTTTTCCTCCTGTTTGCAAGCTTATTATTTTTTTAATAAGTAGAAGAGAATTGCATTTGTATTTATGTATGTTTTGCAATTACTCTTAAGATAATTTCTTCACCTGCAGGAACTTCAGAGGGACATAGAGAAACACAGCACTGGAGTGGCATCTGTTCTCAATCTGTGTGAAGTGCTTCTTCATGACTGTGATGCTTGTGCCACAGAAGCAGAGTGTGAATCTATCCAGCAGGCCACACGCAATCTGGAGAGAAGGTGGAGGAACATTTGTGCAATGTCAATGGAAAGGCGGCTGAAGTAAGTCTAAAATGCCTAAAAATTAGTATTTCCTTCTGCAGGCAAAAATATAGGATGGGATGTATATTATAGTGTTACAGTACTGAAGAAAAGGGTGTAGGGGTCAGAAAAAGATCATACACTGAATAAAAGCCAATAACTGTTATGCTGTGGGGAAAAAGAAAAAGAAATTTCTGGTTGCATTTTTATGTGTCTTTATACAAGATACAGATATCAGTTATCAAATTTTGCTCACAAGGCCTTTGATGGAATGATGCCTTATTTCCCATGCTTCTTAGAAATGATGAGAGAGAAACCAGAGAAAGCTTAGATGATGGCAGTGACTTCAAGAGATTTAAAAAACATGACCTAAAAGGGAGAGTTGTAGCACTTAATTTTACCCTAGGATTACTGAGACTGATAGGGAAAGTAGTTATCAAGTGGGTGGAATGTCATTCCGGGTGTTAGGGTTTCAATGCACCTGATGTTCTTCAACAGTTTTTCTTATGTCTGAGATACTGTTTATTTGGAAGAATTTTAGGACTGAACACTCATCTGGAATTTCCTCATCTGCCCACCTTAGCTTTGCTGAGCAAGTGTGGGCCGTAGCCCCTGTGCATCTTGAGTGTGGACTGATTTTTACTGCACATACTTAGGCCATCTGTACACTGCATGCCCTTGATATCCAGAAGATTAATTGTTCTCTATTCCCATCTAGGATAGCATGGGTGATTTTAACAGCCATAATGATGTAGGCTAGATTGGGCCAATGCTATGTGCTATTTAACAATGCTCTGTGCTGACCAGTAATAAGACATGTTTAACTGTTTGAACCCCTGTATTTATGAAGAACTTCTCTGTATCTTTTTAAGTTATGAATCTGATCTCTGTGATGTTTACACAGTTATATCACGAGCTCTAGGTAAAGTTTATGACTTTTCAAAATGCTGAAATGAACTTTATATGATCTTTGGTTTTGTGGGACATTCTTAATGTATTTAGTAAAGGTTTTCTATATGCAAAAAATTCTTTACTTTTAAGTTGTGCTACTCTATATCCACAGATTGCTGTCTTTAAGTAGTTATTATACTATTGCTATGGTAATTCTTGTATAGTGTATATATATAAATACAGTTTATAAGTTCTATCCTTGATGCAGTCTGTCCTGATAATATACAGGCTCTTCATACCTTTGCGTCCAGCAAATTAATTCAGAATAATTTTCAGTTAATGCATTGAATTCTATTTTACTTTGTTGCAATGTACAGATTATGCTATTAGTAGATTTGCACCAGTAGATTAACTGAGGTATTGGAATTTAGGATCTTTATTGCACTAGAAACAGTTATTCACATTAAAAAGCAACTTTCCAGATGTAAGACTAAACAACATATCATCAAAGAAGCATAAATTTTGCATGAATCAGGTCCTTTTCAGACCTGGGAAAGATGTATTTTGTATGTAAAAAAGAACAGAAAAAAACTGCTCTTATAAAATCTGTCCCAAAAAAGATCTTGTTATTTTGAATCAAGTGGTGTTGAAGTTCTTTGGATTTTCCAGTCTCAAAATTAAGTCAATTTGATTTCAGAGTAAAGAGTCAGCCACTACTTTTACATATTCAATTGAAGTCAAATTGGTTTTTTTAAAACATTGGAATAACTTCTGATTTTTTATAATACAAATATGTTTACAGTGTATATTGAGAGATAGCATTTTACCACTTGTGGGTGAATGCAAAAACAGAAAGTGTTCATGTCCCTTAGCAATGCAGAATAATGACAGAGAGGTTTAAAATATATACTGCAACATCTTTAGCATTCTGCCACTGAGGGTATTGTGGAATTTCTAGTCTCTAGAACACTGCTCTAGGTAACTACAGTGGGACTGCATTTCAGAAGCTATTTAACATATGCTCAGATTTTCAGAGCTCCTGTTACATAC